TGATGACTTGCCTCGATTTCCTAGGGCTTTCCTCTAGTTTAGATGCAAGCCATACACAACTAGCAGCAACTTTCTGCAAGATATCAGCACATCCTAAAAACAATGAATTCTAAATAATTCTCATGACTTGAAACTCTAAAGTGAAAATATCGCTTCTAACCTTGACATTGAAGCGGGCAAATGACTTCTTGCAATAGAAACGATGGAATAAAACTTGACCAGTAGCCATCACAGCTTGAGGTCTGTAAGCAGAAAAAAATGGAAATAGAAACAGATAGAACCAGAATAAATAAAAGGTTTCAACCAAAAAAAAAAAAAAAAAAAACCATAAGTCAAGTACTGATGATGGGATGAAAGCATCAATAATAGAGGATGTCTTTTTTGTTTCGACAACAAGTATATTAGAGATCGTTTATCAATCGATTTGTACAATTAAGGTTATAAAAATATATAAAGGTTATGTAGTTATATTTATAAAGTTTTAAAAAATTTTCAATTGAGCCTATTAATAAAAAAATTTTAAGTTAAAAACTTTAACTTACCTAATTTAGTAAATTTTAATTGAATTTAAATTTTAAATATGAAATTATTTAAATTATTAAATAAACTTTTTATATTAAGTAATATAATTTAATTTTTTAAACTACTTAAATATGTTATCAAACATACTTAGTGTGTTAATTAATCGTGGAGCCTAAATGCGATTCAGTGGATGATAAGGTGTTTGGAATTGGAATTATTAGTAGATTTTTTTTTTCATAATTATACCCTAGAATTCGTAATTTTTATTATATATAAAATATCGAAGGCTAGAGTAAGATCCAATTTATTAGGATCAAAAAGGGAAAATAAATAAATAAAATCTAATTTACAATTATTGCATATCTTTTCCATCTTTAAACTAGATTTCTTTTTTTTTTTTAAAAAAAAAAAAAACTCTATTTCTATCACTAAAAATCGCTCTTCCTTTCACCCTTATTTGCTGCAGTATATTTTTCTTTCTTTCTTTCTTTTGAACCTATCACTTTCCGACTCATGCTACATTAAAACAGTACTTATATATATATATAAGTTTTCAAATTTTATGTGGAATTCTTCTGTTTTACCTTTTACAAGCTCCAAAATTTTATTTCTGCGTATGTCCTGAACTATTATAACTTGTTGTAAGTACTGAATTTGCATATAAAATAATTTTTTAATGATCTTTTATTTTCTTTTTCGTTATTTATAATCTACGTACAATTACTTTAGAAAACAAAGTCTATATTCCTAAATAAATATATACATAATACAGCATATTATTATTTGTTCACAAGGTAGAGTCGAAAGAACAAATTAATTAGTTCAAGTTTCTTAGTGTTGGAACTATTCAAGGAGAAAAAAATATTATAACTCCTAATCGTTTGATTAAAAAAAGCTTGTCAAATGACCATTTTAAACCAAAAAAATCTAACTAAAAGTCATGAAATAATTTTATATTAACTCTAATAATGAATGTATTAGAAACTTTTGCAAGCACATCGCTTGCAACTATTTATGAGGGGTCGTTAATAGATTCATTCGATCATTTGCAATTGCGAATCAGGAGAAACAAACAAGTTGGTTCTAAAAAAGAAAAAAGTTGGTTCCTAATGAATTCAAAATGATAAAGAAAGTAAAATATATAATTCAATGTAAAATGAATATTCAGCCATCCAACAACTCAAGACTTGTAGGGAGACTCCATTTTATCGTTAAAATCATGGCATGCATGGTTGACCAAGGGTTGGGGATCACAGTACATTTGGGAATTGCCTCGTAGCGGAAGCAGAATGGACAGTAATGCCAACAAAAAGCAAGGCCGCCATCAGAAGCAGACCAACCTTCTTGCTCCTCATATCTAGCTATCTAGATATTATATATACGTGGATTTTGTTCCAATTTGATTAAATATAATTGACAGACTAATTGTTTAGAAAAATAATTCGGTTTTAATTGTAAATGATGGATTCATAAGTAACTTGTAAAGTGAATTTGCTTAAAATTTATAAGACAAATTTTTTTTTTAACTACTATATAAATATATATATCTGGTAAAAATTGATGATATTCTATCACATTTGCCTGAATACAATGGCTTTATATTTAGTAAAACGGGACCATGTAAAATGTTTCTCCGGATTGGTCATGTATATTTGGTACGTTGTGATAGAAACAAAAATGGGGAAAAGGATTAATAACAAAGTGAATGAAAAATATATCTTTTTTTTTTTTAAAAAAAAGAACTTATTTGAATTTCGGGGAAAAAAGCATTAATCAATTACCTTTGCAAATTAGCAAAGGCATTGTACGTAGTAAAAAAAAAAAAAAAAAAAAGGAAAAAAAGGCGTGAATTTTAGGCAACAGTTGTGGGCATCTTTTAATTTTCTCAAGGAAAAGAAAAATCAAACAAAGCAGTGCATAAAAGTCGGGAGTGGATCCTCTATTTTTTTGTTGTGAATTGTGACATGTGAGGAAGGGAGTAACGCAAGGGGCGAGAGGCAAAGAGAGGAATTTGCGGGAATCGAATGGTTGAATTTTCATGCATGCATGGTATAAAAGAGGAGGGCATGGGGCAGCATTCCAGATGTAGAAGAAAGGTAAATTAATCTCTCTTCTTCCATTAATAGAGACAGAAGAAACGAGCATATTTAATTATTAGTTTTGTGTGAGAGGGAGGAAGAGGAAAGGGTTAATATTATTATATAATCCCTCTCTAAAGTCACGAGCAGATCAGAGAGATGGCTGGGGTTATGTTTACGGTGCTACTCTGCCTCTCTGCAGGGGCCATGTTGGGCACTGTCCAGGGTGAAGACCCTTACTTGTTCTTCACATGGAACGTCACCTATGGTACCCGCTCACCTCTAGGAGTTCCCCAGAAAGTCATCCTCATTAACGATCAATTTCCAGGTCCCAACATCAATTCTACCTCCAACAACAATATCGTCGTCAACGTCTTCAATAACCTTGACGAGCCCTTCCTTTTGACATGGAGCGGTATCCAGCAAAGGAAGAACTCGTGGCAAGATGGAGTGCTTGGGACCAACTGCCCAATCCCCCCAGGAACCAACTACACCTACCACTTCCAGGTCAAGGACCAGATCGGTAGCTACATCTACTACCCATCAACAGGCATGCATCGCGCTTCTGGTGGCTTCGGCGGCCTTCGCGTCAACAGCCGCCTACTCATCCCTGTCCCTTATGCTGATCCCGAGGACGATTACACTGTCATTCTTAATGACTGGCACACTAAGAGCCACAAGACTCTCCAGAGTTTCTTGGATAGCGGCCGCTCTCTTGCAAGGCCCGCCGGCGTCCTCATTAATGGCAAAAATGCAAAGGGTGATGGCAAGGACGAGCCTCTATTCACAATGAAGCCTGGAAAGACATACAAGTACAGAATCTGCAATGCCGGGCTCAAGAATACTCTCAATTTCAGGATCCAAGGCCATCCATTGAAGCTTGTGGAGATGGAGGGCTCCCATGTGGTGCAAAACGTGTACGAGTCACTCGATGTCCATGTTGGACAATGCTTCACTGTCCTCGTGACAGCCAACCAAGCTCCCAAAGACTACTACATGGTGGCTTCCACCCGATTCAATAAGCAGGTTCTCACAGGCAAGGGCATCATCCGTTACACCAATGGCAAGGGTCCAGCATCGCCTGAGCTCCCTGAGGCACCAGTTGGATGGGCTTGGTCTCTCAATCAATTCCGTTCCTTCCGCTGGAATCTTACAGCCAGTGCTGCTAGGCCTAACCCTCAAGGCTCTTACCATTATGGTTCCATCAACATTACCCGCACCATCAAGCTCGTAAGCTCAACTAGCCGAGAAGGTGGCAAGCTTCGCTATGCCCTCAATGGCGTCTCTCACGTTAATCCAGAGACGCCTCTCAAACTTGCTGAGTACTATGGAATTGCAGACAAGGTGTTCAAATATGACACCATCCAAGACAGTCCACAAGCTGACATTGCTCATGCTAAGATTGTCTCACAACCCAATGTCCTTAACCTCACCTTCCGTAACTTTGTGGAGATCATCTTTGAGAACCCCGAGAAGAGCATGCAATCATATCACTTGGATGGTTATTCCTTCTTTGCAGTCGCGTAAGTAATTAATTAAACAAATGCAGAAGCAGTATATAAATATGTATATATATCTAAACTTTTTTAATTATTGTGAATATCTCTAACCAAGTAATTAATTATGTATTCAACAGCGTGGAGCCAGGCACTTGGACCCCTGAAAAGAGAAAGAGCTACAATCTTCTTGATGCAGTGAGCAGGACGACCGTTCAGGTCTTCCCCAAATCCTGGGCTGCCATTCTTTTGACATTCGACAATGCTGGAATGTGGAACATCAGGTCAGAGATGTGGGAGAGGACTTATCTAGGACAACAGCTGTATGCCAGTGTTCTTTCCCCTGCACGCTCCCTTAGGGACGAGTACAATCTTCCTGATAATTCTTTGCTATGTGGCCTCGTCAAGGACATGCCAACACCCCAACCTTACAGCATCTATGGCGCTTGAGCTAACGGATGAAAATATACAGTGACTGATACTCCTTGTATTAACCCCTTCCAATTTATTGCAATAAATTTTTTCCAAATTATTCCTTTAATTTCTGTATTCATCATTACATTTGCTCTGTTCTAAGAAATCTTGGTACTTCAGCCAAAGCCATGTATAGTTGATTGATGAAAGTTATAAGAAATCTTAATGCTTCAGCCAAGATGGCACTATTACTCGATCGTGAAAGCAATTAATGGAGCATAAACACATGCATGCATGCCCATGTTTGAGTTAGTTATTTTAAATGTTTAATTTAGCTCGGAAACAAGCAGTTAATTTAAAAGGCAATTTCTATGATTACCTTTAGCATTACACCATACCCCCTCAAGTTACAATCAAACTAGATATTAAGTACTTTAATTTATTTCTTGCAAGTAAAAATTTATCTAATCACTCACCCAAAAGAATATATATGTATAAAAGTTTGATACGCCTTCAATCGCGTTTCACGTTGATCCAGATACACCTCTCAAACTTGTCGATTCACGTTGATCCAGATACACCTCTCAAACTTGTCGAGTACTATGGCATTATAAACAAGGTGTGCAAATACGACACCATCCAGGACATGCCACAAACTAAGTTTGATAAGATTCTCACACAACTCAATTTCCTCAAACAAACCTTTCGTAACTTTGTTGAAATTATCTTTGAGAACCACGAGAAGAGCATGCAATCATACCATTTGGATGGTTATTCCTTCAACTAAACCTTCCGTAACTTTGTTAAAATTAAGTCTCTCGTATATATTCATTTAGATTTCTTAACTAGCCCAATGCCCGTGCATTGTCGCGGGTAAGTCTATTATATTTATGTTTTAATATTTTTAATAATTTAAAAATATAAACAAAAAATAAAAATTAATTAGCACTCATTATAATATATATATATATATATATATATATATATATATATATATATAATTGAATTTAAATATTTTTTATTTTGATAAATAAAAATACTCGCAATTAATTATTTATTTTAAAAAATTAAATTAGAAGGGAGTGCTTGATCAATTTATATTAGAAGAATAATTAATTTTAGTTAATGAATATTTATAAAAATAGAAAAAGTAACGATTAATTATGGAAAAATTATTTTGATTAAATAATAAATAATGAAAAAATAACCCAACTCTGAGAAAAAAAATTTTTAGGGACCTTTTTGTAATATTAATTAATAGTAGGGATTGTTTTATATAAATTAATAACTTAAAGGAAGAAAGTGTAAAAGCTGACAAAAATCATGTATCTTTTTTTAAGAAAACGACATCGTTTTGAGCCTAAAAGAACCAAAATGACGTCGTTTTGGTTTCATTGTAGCGAGGGCTTAGCTACGGTGAAACCGCATTCTCTTTTAGTGTATACTAGTTTTTTTTCCCACGCTATCTTGCGGGTTAGATAAAATATATAAAATAGTTTATAAAAATTATTTTAGTTTGATAGTCTCTTTTATGGTGTGAATCTATAAAAATATATAAAATCAAAGGTAAAAAAAATTAATTATAATTTTTTAATAACAAATTTGTATTTAACTATTTTGTATTTGTGTTTTTCATAATTTTTTCTTTAGAAAAAGATTTATCCTTATTAATCTATGGATTATAAACTAAAAAGAAAATTAAATAGTTTTGTTTAAAAAAAGCTTTAGTATTTTATAAGATTGTGTCCAAAAACATAAATAACAATTATTAAAAGCTTACATAGAATTGAATAAATTATTTTTTTATTTAATGTTGATGAGAATATCGATTCTTGAAAAAATATTAATTTAATTTTTATATATTTATTTACAAAAGAATGAATAATAGTAAAATAAAAAAAATATTAATTTGAATCATTGAGTGGTTAAGCCAAAACATAATTTTAATTTTTTAGTTTAAAATTAGTTAATTTTAAAATATTCAAAAATAAATAAATAGTAAATGCTTAGTATAGTAGTAGTTGCACGGTTAATTTCTAAAAAGACAACGATTCAATATTTTTTATACATCATAACTATATTAAGTGAGTTCGAGTTTTCGATCTAAAACAAAAAATATTATTAAAAAAACTTAACTTGCAAGGAATCTATTGACTAAATTTGAAGTTAGTAGATTAAAATAAAAATTATTAAAAAATTTTATTTCGATTAATTTTGATTATATAAAGAAAAAAATTAATAAAACATGTGAATTCTTTTTTCCCTCCTTCTTAAATATATATATATATATATTTTAGTTCTATGCTATGCATGGCTAGTCCATGAATAAAGGGCTTACTTGCAGAGCAACCATCTTCTTTTTATTTTTCACATTTTACTTTCAACTATTAATTAATTAATTTAAGTTTTTTTCTAAAAAAAACCAAGAAAAAATTATTTAAAATATAATGTTAATCTAAAAATTTATTTTAGATAAATTATATATATTAATCATGCCATTATAATTTAAAAGTTATCTAAATCTATTCTTCAAAGAAAAAATAATCATATTCTAAACATTTATTCCAAAATCCATACATATAAAAAATAAAGAAAAAATATCAACAAATATAATTTTAAATTAATTGGATGAGAATTAAAAAAAAATAACAAATTAAATTAGTAAATTTTAAATAATAAAAATAATTAACAAAAAAAAAAAAAACTAAAACAAAATGATACTAAATCACAATATAATCAAAGTTTGAAATTGAAAAAGAAAAAGATTTTTTTTTAAAAAATGACAAATTAATGTTGTAAATTTTAAATAATATAAAAAAATCAATAAAAAATTATTTGAAATACACTTTTAATCTGAAAATGTATTTTAGAAAAATTATATATATATATATATATATATCGGGCCAATATAATTTAAAAATTATCTAAATCACTTGCACTTCCACTTGACACCTATCGTAATGATAAACGGCTCGTCTCGCCGTGACCTTCTCTTGAATTCTCAAAACTTCTGTCGCTCCATCCCCGCAGGAGCAGAGAACCCGTCGCTGTCTCGGCTGTGCTACCGGAGGCTCTGGGGAAGTCGGAATAGGAGAGCACTCATCTTGGGGTGGGCTTACTACTTAGATGCTTTCAGCGAGTTATCTTGAAAAGAAAAAAAATCATGTTATAAGAATTTATTCCAAAATCCATACATATAAAAAGATAAATCAAAGCTGTTAGTATATATAATTTTAAATTAATTGAATGAGAAATTTAAAAAAAATGATAAATTAAAGTAGTAAATTTTAAATAATTAAAATAATTAAAAAATAAAAAAATGCATGAAATCATAATATAATTAAAGTTTGAAATTAAAAAAATAACAAATGAACGTACTAAATTTTAAATAATATCAAAAAAATTAGCAAAAAGAATACTTAATATGTTGTTTAGATAACAACAAATAAGGTGAAGCAAATGCAAGGATGAAGGAAATGTATTGAGTTCTAGATGTGAAAATGATTAGTATGAATGCAAAGAGCATGATCTATAGGATACTCTTTGTAAAATTAGCATGAATTTATCTATTTAAAGATTTTAAGTACATGTTTCAATGATGAATAGAAATAGAAGAGTTTATAAAATGCAACGGAGTTATAAAAAATTCATTAACACTAAATATAAATTTTAGAAAGCCTTAAACTTTAAACCAAATAAGAAAATTTTTACTATGCAATATGATAGAGGTCTAGGGTAGAAGATACGGTGCATTACCTTGGACTCTTGGGTGTGAGGCGAGTATAGTAGCACTCTCGGCTCTAGTTGGGTCATGGGCGATACAAAATCTATTCCTTCATCTTAAATAATGGCAATCATGCGAATTTTACAAAAATGTCAAAAAATCCAAGACTTAAAGATGCATTTAAGAATAAATTGGCATCATCTGGTATTTTTCTCATCTCTACTTTTATTTTTTATTGAAAAGCGTTATATTTAATTTAACTTTTGTACCTCATCATCGGTGATTTAGGATTTTAAGGTTTAGGATTTAGTTAAAGATTTAAGGTTTACAATTTATTTAGGGGTTTAGGGTTTATTTTAGGCTATTCGAAAAAACAAATAAGAGTTTCTCGGATCGGACAAGCGGATTTTGGATATCCAATAAGATTTTTGAGGTATAAATTTCTCCCATGATCTTTTGTACTTTCTAACTAAAAATTTATTTATTTTTTCACGCATCTAAGGCTTGTTAAATTTTGTTAATATAGAGGATGAAATCGGCGAAAAAAGCTTGATGACTTGTGCACAAGCGAGAATGGAGGGAGAATACCGATGCCTATTCTCCTAAAACGTCAACAAAATCAAAAAGACTTGAAGATGCATCTAAGAATAAATTGGTGTCACTTGGTATTTTTTTCATCTCTACCTTTTTTTTTTTTCAAGGGTGTTATTCTTGATTTAACTTTTGTATCTCTTGCTTTTATTTTAAGTTATCAAAATGTACTTTAATTTTTGTTTTCTATATTATTTAGTGTGATTTTGGTGTTTAGGGTGTAGGTTTTAGGATTTTAGGGTTTAGGATTTATTTAGGGTATAACTTTAGAGTTTAGGATTTTAGGCTTCAAGTTTTAGGATTTGAGGATGTAGAATTTAATTAGGGATTTAGGTTTTAAGGTTTAGGATGCGGTTAGACATTTAGGGTTTGAGGGCTTACAATTTATTTAAGGTTTAGGGTTTGTTTTAGGATTTAGGGTTTAGAATTTATTTCAACTTTAAGTTTAAGATTTTAGGCTTTTGGATTTTGGATTTAGTTAGTGATTTAGGTTTTAGGTTTTAGGATTTTAAGGTTTAGGATTTAGTTAAAGATTTAAGGTTTACAATTTATTTAGGGGTTTAGGTTTTATTTTAGGCTATTCGAAAAAACAAATAAGAGCTTCTCGAATCTGGACAAGCAAATTTTTGACATCCGAGTAAGATTTTTGAGGTATAAATTTCTCCCATTATCTTTTGTACTTTGAAACTAGAAAGTTATTTATTTTTTCATGCATCTAATGCTTGTTAAATTTTGTGAATATAGAGGATGAAATCCGCGGAACAAAGCTTGATGACTTGTGCGCAAGTTGAATGGAGGGGAGAATAGTGAACAAAATTATTCTCCTAAAACGTCAAAAAAATCCAAAAGACTTGAAGATGCATCTAAGAATAAATTGGTGTTACTTGGTATCATCTTCACTTTTTTTTTCAAAAGTGTTATTCTTGATTTAACTTTTGTATCTATTGCTTTATTTTAAGTTTTAAGAATGTACTTTAATTTTTGTTTTTTGTAGTTGTTGGTGTGATTTTGTTGTTTAGAGTGTAGGTTTTAGGATTTTAGGGTTTATGGTGTATTTAGGGTATAACTTTAGAGTTTAGGATTTTAGGATTTAGAATTTAGTTAGGGATTTAGGTTTTAGGGTTTAGGATGTAGTTAGAGATTTAGGGTTTGAGGGCTTACAATTATTTAAGGTTTAGGGTTTATTTTAGGATTTAGGGATTAGGATTTATTTAAGCTTTAAGTTTAGGATTTTAGGCTTTAGGTTTTAGGATTTTAGATTTAGTTAGTGATTTAGGATTTAGGTTTTAGGATTTAATTAAAGATTTAAGGTTTACAATTTATTTAAGGGTTTAGGGTTTATTTTAGGCTATTCGTAAAAAGAAATAAGAGCTTCCCGATTGGACAAGCTGATTTTGGAT